AAAACTGATTTATCGTACAATAATTCATTATTTTTGCATGAAGTGGTCAGTTTCCGGAAAACTAAATTTTTTTCCAAATTTTCTGTGCAATCATTATATTAATCTGGGTTTGTAAGAGCCGTATTACTTTCAAAAGCATGTGCTTGCATTTTATTAGGAGAGCATGACAGCAACATTGAGATGGTTCATTTTTATTTCAATTCACATATTTTCGAAATGACTTTTGCATTGTTTAGCCTTTCCAAAACGGAAGAGAATGAGGCATTGAAAATCTTTGACTGTGTTGCTAATGGAATATCTCCCATTTTGATGGTTTTTGTTGAATCAGTAATCATTGTCCTTTTTTGGTGAGGGTTTCCGTCTCTGCAAAGTGCCTCATCGGTGTCCTGAACATCTCCTAAACATCTCCTGTTGTCGTAGAGGATTCACTTTTCATCACACGTAAAGATCCGATCCGAAAAAGGAAGGTTTTGGTGGTGCAATAGCAAGGAAAACAGAGCTCGAAGTGTGACAATTCCTGTCGATAGTTCAAATCGTGGAGCAACCCACTTCTCGAGCTTTTTGATGGTTAGTCTCCACCAGGGTTCTCATATCCTTGCCCTGGTCCTGTAGGTCGACCACTTCAGGGTTTATCTCCGAGGCTAAATTTTCCGGAACAGAATTTCGCAAACCAACGTCAGACAGTGCATTTATTAACATGTTAATATGTTGGTATTTTGATTAAGAGTTTATTCTAATCGAATGAAACGATGAATTGATTTAATGAATTTGAATAAATACATGAATGTCGATTCTCACCTGAAATACCTGTGCACGTAATTCTCAATAACCTTGATCTTCTTCCTCTTCATCAAAGTGTATGCTGTTAAAATACCTGCTAGGGTGAGGAAACTATCCACAGAAACTGGAGTTTGATTCAAAAACATTGTTTTGGCGGAATAAAAGAACTGAAAAAGTAAAGAAAGATCATCAGTGAGTAATTGAACTACATCATCATGTAATCAGATGAGATTAGATGGAAAGGAGATCTCTGTGGAACTAGATGTGATGTCTTGTAGTAGTTAATGCATTTTTATCCTAAGATTATGAGACTGAGATGGTGGAGGGTTCAGCCCGTAATGTGAGAAGATGAGGTGTCTGCAGCAGAGGGATGTGCCTGCAGTAGAAGTTGAGTTGGAGGAGATTGATGTTTATAAAGGGTGGTGGATCTGGATTTTTGTGTATCACGGTATGCACAATGATCAGTGAGCAGATAGTTCCAATATTAGAGGTAAATTTTGTGCACATGAACCTATAGCAGGGGAGCCCACGATGCAAAATGGGGATTTACTCGAGCGTCATTGAGATATATTAGGTTGCAAAGCTTAGATGATTAGAAGAAAAAAATGTTATATAATATATACCTTTCCATCGGTGGGGGAAGCGGTTATAGATTTTTAAATATGTAAAAAAATACTGCTGCATAGACATACTCGAGCGCGTCAGATATTGAAAGCATCAATGTCCTACGTATTTTNGGGGCTCATATTTGGTGGAGGTACTTAACCGGTATCCCCCTGTATATTAATCTGCCGTGCTTTAGTAAATCCCAAAATCCCCTCTTGGGCTCCCCTATTACTACACTTCCAATCATGAGTAACTGCACCTTCCATAGAGCATCACTCAATCATGATTCACAGGAAATCAGTTCAAACCTTCTTCAAGAATAAATATATGGTCATGGACTGCACCTGGTGTAAGAAACCTTCAGCCCCATTACTACATGTGGCGATGTTCTTGAACACCAAAAGATCAGATTGTTGAATAAGATGATGACTTCGATATTGTTCAAGAAGATCATATGTATCTATATATCACTGCAGAAATAAGGAGGTCACACATAAGGTACTAGCAACTCAGTTTCGTTCAAATATGGTTATTCCAAATATGGATGACATACGACAGAAGGTCGACTGTTGATCTTCATTTCCAAAAGCCATATTGATGATCGCTCAAGATGTTACAGCCATCCATATATTAATGATATTTGATATTACTGATAGCAAAACGACTGGTCTATAATTATTTGGAAGATTTTTCTTGCCCTTTCTGAATACCAACCTCTACAATATCATAGTAATTTCCAACAGGGCCCAATATGGAAATCAAAAACTCATGATGGCATATAATCCAAGCCATACTCAGCGACCTTATTCCATTCAAGCATAGTATTTGATGTGGACTGTTGGAAGTGGCTAAGATTTTTTTTCCGTTTTTAACAGCCGAGAAAACCAGTAAAGATGGGTGTTGAGGCTCTGAAAATTATAAAGTAATGAGTACTTCGGATATTCAGAGGCTAGTTTTGGTACAAGTACAGAATCAGGTACTTTCAGTAGTTTCAAATTGTGAGCAACTTCAAGAAGGAATTAAGTCAAATGTATGAAATTATATTAGGTTATTTCAAAAGTTTTGTCCGTTTTGATTCCATGTGCTTTAGAAGCTCCACATTTCAATAAATATCGATTGTACTGTGTCGTGATATATACTAATCTTATTTAGGCTTTCAAAAAGTCTTCGATCAAATAGACCATTATGTTCTTCTCAGTAAATTGACAAAATTGGGACTCTCTAACCAACTGCTTACTCTAATTGAATCATATCTAGTTAACAGAAAACAATTCATCGAATATGAATCTTTCAAATCGGCTCAGTACGTAGTTACATCTGGGGTACCACAAGGTTCTAATCTTGAACCTCTTTTATTTTAAAGTATTTTTAAGTATTGCCACCTTAAAATTGCTATATTTTGTGTTATGGATTCCAGTTTACGACTACAAAAAAACATCAATTGAAAGCGTGCAAAAGTTCCTAAGATACTCATGTCTAAAAGTTTTGGTGACACGATTTGATATGACATCTTTGGAAAATAGGACAGTTACCCTTGGTATAAAATTCCTGCATAAATTACTAAACAACGATATTGACAGTATGGTTCTTTTACCCGAGATCAATTTCTTAGTACCAAGAAGTGAAGGTCGACACAATCTCAGATTCTATTGCGAAGCATCACGCACAAATGTTATGCTACGATCACCATTGAATTTCATGAGCAGTAGCTTCAATAAAATCTGTGAACATTGCGATATTCATTTCGACTCTCTGAACGCCTTGGTATCATGTATCCACAATCACTTTTAATAATACTACAAATAAGATTTGTGTCAGTACTTCTACATTGCATGATTTGTAATTTTTTGTGTTATATACTCAGTTTTTCATTCCTCGTTTTAAATGCTACGTATACGAATATTTTATGTATACTTTGTTTTAGCATTGACTTTTATACATTTCTATATTCCATTTAATTCATATTTATTTCATATATACTCTGTAATAATAGCATTTCCTGTAACTACCCCTTTGGAGGGGTGCGTATTCGTAAAAACGAATAAAAGTTTCGAAACAACCTGATACTTTCTTCAATTTTTCTACTCACTATTGGACAGGATTTCACTATCACGGAAATACTCTCATTGGTGATCTAATAGCAATCATTAAACATCATTATTTTCCAAAAATCTATATTGAAATTCTGATGCTGCTGACAAATCATGCTGTTAATATATAATTACGATTTATTGCGTTTTTTATTGGTTAAACTAGAGCATATTTATTCCTTTCTTTCATCAGTGTAATCAGGAATAGAAGATATAGGAACACTGAAATTGTTTCAGTTTTATCATTGATTTGTTTTCCATTCTGTTGAAATGGTTGTTGTTCATTTGGTTTGAAAATTTATTCGAATTGGAAGGAATTATCACTTAATATATGAAAATATTGCAAAATATTTAAAAATAAAATGTGGAAAAAGCTTGAGATTCATAAAATCAGTCATGAAGATTGTGAATAAAAAGTATGTCAGTAAAACAAGATGAGCTATCAGAAGACGATTCAAGTAACACATTGCAAATGTGCAAAAAAGTGGTAGTGTAGTAAATGCCCCTGTTATTAGTAACAGGCGGAATAAATAATAACAATAAATTATAAGTGAATTTCTCATTCTTGAACTCACATTGTTACCTTAGTTTCAGTAAATAATATTCTCAATACCTTTTTCAGTGTAGGACAGTGATAAATCATACACAGTGGAGCAAATGATAATTGCTGCGAAGGTACACATGATGAGTCTGAAAAATGAAAGAAAACATTATTTAAACCCTCGTATGATATGAAATTTCAGTGATGAGAGGGTCAACAGTAGTTTCCAGCATATTCAAATACAGTTTCTCTGTTAGATTTTGATCAATAAATAGAGGTGGTATCTTTCTCGCTTGCAGTGGCGAAACTATACTGTTAGAGGCCCGTGGAAAATTCATCGGATGGGCCCTCTCCCCCCAATATGGAGAAGCTGAACCAACAATAATACTATTTTTTCATTTTGTAATACTTATTATACACTTTAACATGTGAGAGAATAATAGTAAATCACTATGTTGACTAGGTACAAATTTCATAATTATACTTAGGTACATAATTTTCTAATGATTCACTTCAAATTAAAAGTACCTAATTTAAAGTCACCATCTGATTGATATGGTCACATAGAGTAGTAAGATTTGAAAAACAAAAAAGCAATTTGATATAGGCAGTCCGAATCATCATATTGTTGTAAGCACACAAGGTGTTCAAAATATAAAATGTTAATTAATAAAACTCCTTCCTTCAGACTCTTTGTTCAGCAAAAGTGATAATGACACCATCAAAGTTCAAATTTCGGGCCATAGAATTTTCGAAGGTTAGAATAGCCAAGTTGCTCAACCTGTCTTGTCCCATAGAATGTCTCAAATAAGTTTTTATCAATTTCGATTTCGAAAATGATCGATCGGCACTAACTGTAGTCACAGGAACGGTGAGAAATAATAGAAATGAAGTGCATACTCCAGGAAACCTTGAAGATATAGAATGATTTTTTTTATTATTGATAAGTTAGCAAGTTCTCTTATAGAAGATGAGGTTTCTATTTCGTGTCTAAAAGAGGACCGAAAACTGATAATTTTCTTGGAAAACGAGATGGATATATCTTCTTTATATAGATGGACAAATGCTAAAACCATTTCCAATGGTATCGTTCAAATTTTGCAAAGTGGCAGGTTGCAAGACACTGAACTTGGAAACAATTTCATTCATTCCAAGGAAACGCGATTTCAGTTGATTAATGATTATGTCTAATACACGATAGAATACGTTCACTTCAAACAAGCTTTCAGGATCTTAGAGACGTTCATCCTCACAAATTTCATCAAAATGACGTTTCACTTTTCTCTGACGAGTTTTAGGAAATTCAATATATTTCCAATCATCATAGCGTTCCATCCAAATATGTTGTATATTTTTAGATGCCTTATTCGTGAATAATCAACATGGTTCACAAAATGCTTTTTGAGGCAATAGGGAATAGCACAGCCACCTACGTTCTAACTTCACGTCAGATTTAGAAATACTGTAATAATATCTATCCAAGAAAGATCTTTTGTTACTATCCCTTAAAAAGGAGCCTTTGGTTTACAATGTTGTTTTCGATCACAAACCGTTTTACTTGATCATTGAGTTCTTTGAAGTTACCTTTGTCAGTAAAGTACGGTAAAGATTCCAATTTTACTATATTCAAAAATGATTCGTTTGAAGATTTGCTCGAACCGGGTTGTGGTTGCTCTGAATCTGAATATTTACTGTTATCTGGCTCTGCGATATTTCTACTTATAACGACATTATTTTCTGTTCTTCCCATTAAGTTGATTCTTCTTCTATACGGCCGAAAAAATGTATGTAACGAAAGTCCACCTTTTCGTTCAATGCCTAATTCAAGCGTACAATTTTATAATTATTGAAAGAACGATGAACATAGGTGATTAAAAATTAAAATGATTGTTATCTTATAAATTATTTCAAATATCAGAATAAAATTCTAACCGAGTAGACATTGTCAAATATATCCTCATTTGGAACAAACACCCAATTCTCACAACTATGAACTGCTAACTACTTGAGTGCTTGCCTAACGTGTATAATAAATAATGAATGTTTGGAGTTCTCCTCTGACCGGGGGCCTCTTCCGGCTGGGGGCCCGTGGCATTTTGCCGATATGCCACCCTGTAGTTACGCCACTGATCGCTTGATATATCTAAGGCCTTTGACCGTATGTGGCATGAGGGTTTGCTGGCTAAATTTTGAAGCTATGACTTGTCGGATCATTTTTGTGTATGCCTCTTCAACTTCCTGAAAGAACGTTCCTCTCGATTACTCTCACCATCAACGCTGTTTTCCTTCAGGTATCTA